GATATAGTAGACAGTCGGAGAGCAAGAAGCATTGTTATCTAACACGGATTGCTACATCTAGGATTGAATTATTTTTATAATATAAGGTAACTCACCTTTATTATAATAAATTTATATAAGGAATTCTTCAATCAAGACATGTCAAATATTAAGCAAAAAATAAGTGTCTTAAAAGTGATATCAGCAGCAATGGTTTTAATTAAATTCTTCAATCTTCGTCATTAATATATTTTTTTTAAATTTCTGTCTATATTGATAGATTTTATATGTCTAACTGTGTAACCCTCTTTATAATACAAATAGTTTCCTACTATTTTGTTATATTTGTCACTACTAGCTGCCCCCGCGAATAATGTTTCGCCTTAAAATGTTTTTTTTACTTAACCTACCTTTTTAGTAGCTGCATACCAAGATATGGAACATTTTGCTAAGCTACCCCATAGAGACTGTTCGCATTAATCACGGATAAAGATTTTGTTTTTAAGTTTCACCGTGCAATTTTTCCTCTATATAAACCTTCCTCAGAGGTCAAGGAATTAAAAGAATAATAATATTGGTCCAGCCGTATCCGAGTTTTAAGGATTAATGTTTATTTATATAAACAGATTTCAGACAAGACTTAGTACCGTCCCACTCAAAACGATTACAATTTAACAACTGAATTGTGGCGTAAATAGAAAATGTATATCTTCAATCTTTTTCATACTATTTTCTCATATTTAAACCCTCAAACATTTCAATAGCCCAACTCATACAGCACTAAGCGGCTTAAATATTTATTCGGTCCGTGGAAAACATGTTTTGGTGAAACGGTGTATTTGTACAATTCGTACCAAGGTGTCGGTAATCTTCTTATCTTCACGCGACCCCAATCGTCTTATTAAGGACATCCCATGTTTTTACCTAAAATAAATTTTTGTCCAGTAGACGTGTCATCACATTGTTGAAATTGTAATTAACGAAACTACAACACTTTTATTTTATCTAAAAAATAAATAAATCAGTGGCGCTACAACCTCTTTAGGTTTTGGGCTCAGATTTCTGAATGAAATGATCATATTTAAATCTAATAGGCAAGTAGGTCAGCCTCCAGTGCCTGACACACGCCGTCAACTTTTTGGGTCTAAGACATGTCGGTTTCCTCACGATGTTTTCCTTCACCGTTAGAGTAAATGCTAAATGCGCACATAGAAAGAAAGTCCATTGGTACACAGCCGGGGATCGAACCTACGACCTCAGGGATGAGAATCGCACGCTGAAGCCACTAGGCCAACACTGTTTTATTTTTTCTAAAATACGCACCTAATAATATATACCTTAGGCAGACATAATAACTCGTATATACTCGTAGTAGAATGCCTTAAATAGAAATGTATGTATTAATTTGTAGTTATGAAACTATCTCCTCATTATGTTGGGATATTTCTATTCCTTTCAAAAGAGCTGTCTTTTTACAAAAAAGATCCAATACTATGTACTAGACAAACGAATTAGGTCATAATAAGGAAAGCCGGGATTGTTAGTATTTTTTTTTGTTAGTAGTTTCTTAAGACCTTCATAATCATATTTCTCAAGTAAAAAGTAAAGCAGTCTTATTACACTGTTATAATTATAGAACTTGTTTGTCTCTTTCTTCTCTTCTCTTCTCTTTCTGTTAATGTGTTTACGCTATAAGAAAAGAGATAGTTGAGTGTTTCTATTGAAATTTCGTTTAAATACTTACTTTTAATTTTTTTTTAAATAACGGACATAAGGTAAATGTAATGACTAATTTGTATTAAACTCGTTATTTCAGCTCTTCTGGAAACAAAACAATTGACCAGTATGGTGAAAGATTTGAAAATCTGCACATTTGCTATTTATTTACTCTGTTGCTACAACAAATCTATCAAATTACAACAATCAGTACCACGAAGCGTAATTAATACATGTAGGCTTTGTGGGTGATCAGATTCAAAGGGTAAACTAATACCTATCAAACGTAACGAGTTTGTTTACCCTTGTCATAGCTTACGCCAATGATAGCAATATCTTACCAGAAACAAGCAAATACATACTATTTATATGTCATAGGATGTTCAGCCATGGTGCGTAAATAAATAAATAATCTATCATCTATACCTACCTTTATTTATAAAATATTTGATTGGATCATTCATTAAAATTATTTTTATTTATTAAAAATAATTAAGATGCTCCTACTCGCGTTGCGTATGCATTATAGTCAGTATAACAGTAAATCTAGCTTAATCTAACCCTTAACTATTACGACAGATTTAAGTGTTTGTATTTCCTGCATTGAGTAGTGTTGGTCTAGTGGCTTCAGCGTGCTACTCTCATCCCTGAGATCGTAGCTTCAATCCTCGGCTGTGCACCAATGGAGTTTCTTTGTATGTGCGCATATAACATTCGCTCGAACGGTAAAGGAAAACATCGTGAGGAAACCGACATATCTTAGACCCAAAAAGTCGACGGCGTGTGTGCACTAGAGGCTGATCACCTACTTGCCTATAAGATTGAAAAATTATTATGAAACAGATTCAGAAATCTGAGGCCCAGACCTAAAGAGGTTGTAGCGTCACTGATTTATTTATTTTATTTCCTGCATTATCGTATAGACAAAACTCACAATGAAAACTGTTTCAAACTGTACATTCAAGTTGAAAGGGATTATGGAACATAGTCAGCAGTTTCCCGGAACTCGTAAAACGTAGCCTTCCACTAGAGTCACCGAGTTTTAGTTCGCTGACTACAACTTTGCTGTAACACTCTCAATTGCCACGACCTATATAAACCCATTTTATATAATTGAACCTAGTAGTTTTTTTTTTTGACAATTTACACCAATTGACCTAGTCCCATGCTAAGCTGGTGAAGCTTGTGTTATGGGTACTAGGCAACGGATATACTTACATATTATGCATAGATAGACCTAACATATAAATACATAATGAAACATCCAAGACCTAAGCACAACACCAAAATGCTCATCACATCGATGTTTGTCTCAGCCGGGGATCGAACCGGGGTACTAACCACTAGACCAATGAGCCGTCCAGCCGATAGGAAAATACTCAATGCTAATTTATGTGATACTATTATTTTAGTTATTAACATTCTGTATAGTAGTAATTATAAGTGTATATAAAGTACTATTTTTAATGGAATCTCGCTGTTGGCCTTAAGGGCCTTTACAGCTCAGTTCCAGCTGTTTTGCCGAGCGCAAGGGCGTCTCCTGCGAGACTCGAACCTCGACTTGGGCCGTCGCGGGGTGGTCAATCGCCTGAAGGGCAGGACGGAAGCTCACTGGAGTGAGCGAAGTATGAAGGTCCACGCATTCCCCGGTGAAGGCGGTTTTTTACCCTAATCTGTTTTTGACATATAAAGTAATGCATAAGATTAACATAGCTAACTTTACGGGTTGGGTTAGCAAGAATAACAATTAAGAAAATCTGTTAGCTTGTACATCATCAGTAGACAAAAGGTTTGATCATCATAGGCGCATAGAACGTGCCTGGCGCCATTAGATGTTACTTACCTATGGTAAATTAAAAGAAGATAAGGAATAAAATTTAATTGTGTTTTATTTAATTCCCTACTCAGCTTCCCGGCGAACGCCTCAGGGCAAGAAATGAATAAGGGAGAGTTTCTACTTATTATAAAACAAAAAACAATAATGTTTTTGTTGTCTTGTAAACATTGATTATTAATTTTGTTTTCGTTTTATTCTAGCTCTTATGTAAAATAAATTCAGCCCAAAATCATTAATCGAACACATTTATGTCTTAAAATACATGGAATCATAGAAAATTTGAATTGATTGCCCACAAAGCATGTAGAGGAAAACCTTATTAATTAACAAGTTGTATGTTATATCCCCAGGGTCGAAAGTTACCCGGAATGACCCGCATCACCTGAATGAGCCGAACTAATCCATCGGTACGTTTTCATTACAACTTTTCGTGTTTGAGGTTTTAAAACTAACTTTTCAATCCGCTAACCTCGCCGTTAATATTTGACGGCACTTTAAAGTTTGCTTAGTTATTTATTAATTTGGGTAATTTTAAAAGGCTCCGGCTATATATGTTGAAATAAAATGTACGGATATGTCTCAGGATATCCATTTGACTGTAAAGTAAGCTTTAAAACTAAGCTTTATAGTAAATTTTTAAGAAAAAGAAAAGAACTCATACTCATTCAAAAATGACGCAAGTAAAATTAATAAAAGAACTCCTGAAATTTGAATTTTTAAATGATTTTATCCATAGCCTGGTAACGAGACCTTTAAGCCAATTTTTGAAATTAGAATAGCCCATAAACAAGTAATTAGATGAATTCATCTAGCTATAAATAGATATTTAAAAAAACAATTGCTACCACAGATAGCCACACGTGTGTCTTTAGACTCATTATTTTAGCAAGGTTAACAAATAAGCAAAGTGAAGTCATCGTCTGAGAATATAAGACAGGAAATAGAGTGACGTCCATCTTGCATTGCTAAAATTGCAACAGTTGCGTCATTTACAGTGACAAGATAACTCATTAGGAATATAAATAACTTCGTGAAATACTGTTTTGTTCGATTTAAATTTTGTTGATTATTTTTCCGACCCAAATATCGACCAATAGAATTGCACCATTCGACGTCACGTGGTACAACCTACATGGTATTATACTGATAATTTTTTGAAAATTTTCTCTGGTAGTTGCTATATATAAAAAACAAAACATGATCCAGTCAAATTAACCACACGTCAAACTGACAGGTTGAATTCAATTGTGAAAATTGGAGATTTTGCATGAAAATGAGTCGATTTGGAGTTTGTTCTCTGTCCACCATCGATAAAAAAGTCAAAGGAAATGTTCCCATTAATACGGAGAAGTCAAAAAAAACAGTTTGGAACCAATTTACTACTTTTTGTACTGAGAGGGAATACACATTGAGTGCTGAAACGAGTGAAGCGCAATTGGCAAACATTATGAAAGATTACGCTTACAATATGAAGAAAATGGATGGAGAAGACTATAAGGAAGGTACAATAAAAACAATGTGGAATCAGACTGCCAAATTACTTCAAGAAAAGTATTTGAACGATTTCGACATCAAAATCAACCCATTTTCGGATGCTGCATTCAAGACCGCTCGAGGAGCTCGTGATGCCAAGCGTAAGGCTTTACAATCTATTCCGGAAAAACGGAGGGCAAGTGCAGCAGCGTTGGAGGAAAAAGATTGGGATGAGAGAGAGAGAGAGGAGAGAGAGAGGTGAGTTGTTAACTGTACATTTCGTCTCATGGTGCAATTCTATTGGCCGACATTTGGGACGGAAAAATAATCCCCCGAATACCACAAGAGCTTCAAAATTATCTGGCATTTCCCGATAATTTTGAAGCTCTTGTGGTATTATAAGTGAAAATTGTATATTTTTTGGTGTCAACAATGTCTCTAATCCCATCACAGACACGCGACACAATCCATCTGATTGAGTAATGACAATCGAAACGCCTAGTTTTCGCCTATTGTTAATCGACATAAAAATACCAAAGGAGGTGGTTCTTAGTTCGTCGTGTATGAGGTGTCAAATGATACGGATTTACAGAAATAGGTGTAAATCGTAGACATCAGCGTACAGCGTGTGAGATAGCGAATGATCGACATATGTCGTATTTACAGTTTTAATTCATTGAAGATTGCTTATTATTGACCAAAATACACATTCGAAAAAATAATTCTTAAACAAAGGTACTGAGTCGTGACAAAATAAGCTAAGGTTATATTTGGTTATTTACGTTCACTACAGCTTTTACAGCCAATTATGCAACAATTCACCATGACTCACACTTTAAATACACCTCTTATAAGGATAAAGTCTTAAAATATGGGTTTGACTTGGGATTCACAGATTTATCAGTAAGCGGTGAAAACTTGTTTACCACCGAGCCCTTGGTGGTAAACAAGTTTTCTTTCAATAAAACCCGATACGCATATAGAGACAGAAAAACAGATACTCTGTTTCGCTCGCACCTAAGTATTTCACGTTAATGCCTTCTCTCTTTAGTTATTATTGTTATTTTAGAAGCTCATCTAGTTCTATACTCTATCTACGGTGTAAATAAAATAATGCGAGATCATTATTGTCTGTGAAAACCGACAAATGACTTAATTTGATTGACATCCCAGGGAACTTCAGTAAACATTTTACAACGTCCTTATCGATTATGTAACTAAATACCACATAAACTACGCTAATCTGATTTATATACCGACCAATAAATTATGCATATTATTTGAAAATATAAAATTTGGCGCACACCCAACCATTGTCACCACTTCACTTATAAATTATTAATTATGGACCATTTCAATGATTTTCCTAGAAACCATTTCGACCGTATGAAACATTAAGCCGTTCCAATTGTTTATTATTATATTTAGTAATAAAATGCTTCTAATCCATCTATATCTATAAGTAATTGATTGATTTAAACTTTAAAAAAATGTATGAAACAAACAAAGTGCGATTAAAATTTATTTTATTATAGTTTACAGGCGGAAATTTATCGGAAAATGACTGGTCTTCGACGATTGGAATTGCTCTTCGTTGAATACGATCAAGTGGAAGGAGCTCGTACTGAGGAGCTCTTGCACAGAGGTAAGAAACAGTAGGTACTCCGTGTGTAGCCGAATTTGCGGTTTATACAGTTGGAAACGATGGCCTGGAGTGAGGTACCGTCTTGCCTTGCTGAGCACAAGATTCTCGGAGGCTAATTTAGCCTTTCCCTCCAAATGACCGCGGAAGTGAACGTCGTTCGATATATCAACGGCAACTATTCCGATGTTGGCTTTAAGGAGAATGTCTTCGAAGAGAGGAGTAACAAAAGGTGATTTTTAGCGGAAAACGCGCAAAATTGTGTCTTCTTGGTGTTAAATTGGACTAGATTTAGTCGAACCCAATCCACGTAGCAGAGTTTCGACTACAGAAACAAGTTTGTTACGGTATTGACTACCCGAGAAATACCTGCACGGACAGATAAATAGTATCCCCAGTGCTGGCAATGAATGCTGCTAAGTTGCAACATGTCATTGATATGCAGAAGAAAAAGGGTGTGGTCAATTACGACTTTGATGCTTCCAACAGCCAGAATGCTGGAGACCCAGTTGCATAATTTCTCGGCCCATTGGCTGGAAGCTTTAAGAGATGCGCTTTATGCCACACCTAATCGAATGGTGTCGCTATTACACCAGCTATGCGACCACGACGATAGTTCTCCCGCAAACAAAAGACATTATTATTAGAATGAATGAATATAATTTGTCCATATTTAATACATGCGTATAAGTCCCGCACGTTGATATTGCGACTGGCGGCCATCTTAGTGACGTCGTCGAACTGTCAGTGTCAGTACCGTGCGCAAGGTCAGCCAGCGCTTACGCGTATTGAGAACATCTAACACGTGTTTTTTATTATTTTCGTTATCCTGTTTTATTTTTGTTGTTCAGTTTTGTTATCATACTTATCCTATTAAAATGAGCAAGAAAGTAATTAACAGCCGTGCTCGTGAAATGATTATTGAAGTGGACAATTATTTCGTTAAGGAGAAAGAGGACTCTAAGTTATTGATTCATAATATAAACCGTGTCCTAATAATGCTTCGGACACTAGTGAGGACATGCTTATTTCAAAGCAATATGTGACGGACATTTGAATATTATTATTATTAACTTTTTTGGTGTCTGTACTTTTCTGCGGTGGATGACGTCACGCTGCTGTTATTGTGACAAGGTTCCATCGCAATATCAACGTGCGGGGCTAGTACGGTAGTACCCTGTACGTTAGAGGACGTTGTGGCGGTTCAGTATATTTGTATGTTTAGTTATTTTATTTATGAAATAGATAATACAGTGGATATTTAATTTAAAAAGAAAATTTGGTTCATAGGCTGCAGCGAAATACGTGGGAAAAACTAATCAGATTTAATATCTTTTATATGAATAAATCTTCACATATTTTCTGACTGAATCTGTAGTTGTAGTACTTGTTTTGTAGATGAAAAAAGATTACTGGCATTCATATTGAATTTAGATGAAAATCAGTTTTAGGCTTTATAATTTTATTATCAATGCTTATCAGCACTGTAAATGCATATGCTAAAACATTGAAGTAATATCAAAAGCATTACTACTTTTGAATCTAGAATCTTTCCACTTCGAGAAGTGAAACCTTAGGTCAAACAACTTAACCCACTTTTATATTCTGTTTCGTTGAAACTTGATAAGAAACTTGTTATTTGGCATTTGAAATAAGAAACACGCAAACGTTTGTCCACACAACTTAACTTTACTAACTTGACAATTCAGAAGTGCATTTGTGAAATGTTTTATATAGACAACAATACAATGTGACAACACGTGGATCAGAAAAGAATGTAAAACATAAGATAAAAATGTTCCGATTGATTGTTGTTGGTCAGCGTCATTCTCTAGATCCAATCACAGCATCGCCACATGATCCGTCGTCCCTTTTACCCCTAGTGTTATTCGCTGTTCCATTCAGTCAACTTACTGTATCAGAATTTACACAATTTTAAAAGAGTGAAAACCTAAAAACAAAAGGCAAAACGACGGCGCCCTCCGTTTGCATGTGATTGGTCAACTGGGTCTGTAGGATAGTAAGTGATGATACGCAACAAGATACGTCATGATTTAAGTACGTTTTTCAATGATAATAGAACATTTTGTTTCGTCTTCTGTTGTTTTATATTTTTACCAACTTGGTGTTTCAGGTGACTTTGTATTATCTACACTATATCTATGGAAATAAGAAACTAAAACGATATATCCTAATAAACATAATCGATTCTATCGCTACACATTGATTTATTTGCATAGACATAAAGTCATAATTATCTGCTATTAACACGTTCACTGCGCCATCATTTTTAAAGAACTTCTCAGCTGGTGCGTTGGATACCTAAAAGATCTCGTAACAAGCCTATCCTCTGGTGCGTTTGAGACCTAATCAGTCTCCTAAAAATACACTTTTGAAAATAATTTATATCTTCCAAAAAAACAATGATATATATTTTGAATTTTTTGTGGGTGAAAGATAGCTAATTGCTTTATATTTTGCTAGGTTCGCACGCAGTAACGACATTTGAATAAACTACAAATAACAAAAAAAAATTAGATATCGATTGTATCTCGTACCGCACCCGAAGATTTATTTATTCCTTATTTCCTATTTTTACAGTAACTTAATACTAATACAATAGAAAACTAACTTAAAACATAATATAACCATAACAAGTAAAAACTTAAAAAAACCTAAACAATTTTATAACTAATTATAAATAATGAAATTCTTGTGAATTCAGCAGTGTGCAACTAAATATATCCGTCTCAAAGCAAAGTGTTTAGGGTGGCAAAAACGGTAAATGTGTTCTTAATAAATTTCCGAGGCACTGCAGAATTGGACCGCTTACTGAGTGTGGTTATTTGAAGAGCCCCAGTCTTTCCAATATTTCCGCATTATATATTTTACCTCTAAGGATTTAAAAAATATAGGTGATATAAGGTCCCTCTTACCTCTAACTTGTTTATCAACCATGCCAAGACAAACAAATTGGATAATTATTGGGTAAAATGGGTACATCCATACAACCTCATGTATATTATTATAAATTTATTTTATGTCAATTAGAGAATATTTTTTTTTTGGGCCCAAATCATAGAATTATATTCCAAGTGGCTCTAAAAGTGCATTATACAATATTACCTTTTATATTTGAAAATCCTTTGGCCATACGCAAAATAAACCCTAAATTCCTATAAGCTTTTTTACAAATTATTTTTATGTTATCCGAAAATTTAATTCCATTTAAATGAACCCCTAGGTCTTTTATTTCGGCTACTCTTGAATTGGCTGTTTTCTCAATGTTATAATTATAAAGAATGGTGTCCTCTCTGGAAAAAAAATAAAGCACATTTTGAGAATTAAGCTGCAGTCATTTTTCCTACAATTTACTACCGATCAATATCCTGTAATTAGACAATCTTCCTCACTATTAATCGGCCGTATAATTTAAGATCATCCCGAACATTAAACATTTTGCCTCTTCTACTACCCCTGGTAGATCATTTACCATTAACAAAAATTCTAAAGGTCCTAAATTCTTGCTAGCCAGACAAGTTAATATTCCTAGATTTAATGCCATCATATTCCACATACTGCTCCCTATCTTCATTGACTTGCCATAAACCGAATAATGAGCAGTGAAGCAACTTTTCTAATTTCATAGAGACGTCTTATGACCTTAAATCTTTTCTATATAAGTAGGCTGCATCAACTTGTCCTCCACTATCACAACTGGTACTATGCAAGTCAAGAAGCTTAATAATTCTGTATTTTGCTCTCGAAATCCATTTTATAGAGAGTTGAATCCTACCTGATCAAGAATGACTTTTAAGCGCTGACTATTACTTCGTGGTGTTGACAAAATGCCACGGTCTATGATGTCTACTTTTACTTTGTCTACCTTTAGGTACGAACCACTTTGCTAATTTTCCAACGATCTGGGAATGTTGAGCTTTAAGGCTAAGATTGAATAAGAAAGGGGTTCCGCCAATACTGCCCGACAGTCTCTAAAGATATAGGAGGTATACATAGGCCGGGACTTTTTTGTTTTAAAGTTGTAAGGCATTCCGTACCTCCTCTAATTGAACTTATCTACGTGAACCAATTTCCCCCACTTCCACAATCCGCCTCCGCAATAACTTTCTTAACGTAATTGGGTTTTGCGTAACATACACTGAATGAAATAATTAGCGAATTCCTCTACCCTCTTATCCATAGTTAACTCTTTTCCGTTATAACAATACCTAGCTGTCTTTCAGCCCTTTGGCTCTTTACAAATTTCAAAATGACCTAGATTTTCTATACTTCTTTCAATAACTTTCTATACCTATAAATGCCTTAAATCCCTACCTTTACCTCAGCCCTACACAAGCTAAATTTAGTCACCTTGAACTTAGTTCTTTATAACGCTTATGTAGCTTACTTTCCATTTTATTTTACGAATAATTTCATCATTATACCATTCCGATAGGTGTTTTGAGTAAATATCCTTTTAGGGTTTCTTTTGGCACAAATCTCAAAGATATATTTAAAATATTATAAAAGCTATCTAGACTGATCTAAGTCCGAAGAAAATATACTAGACCAGTCTGCTCTCCTATCCTCAATACAACATATGTAATTTTTTTGAAATTTCCATTTCAATGGTCTACCTACCTTATCTACCGCCTTCGTATATTTACAGGACGCCGCGATCGGCATACAAACTTGAAGGGTGGATTTGTTTATCCACTGACACAGAGGCTGATCAGATACACACACATTTACGCTGCTAACCCCCAACCTTGCATAAAACCAGATCCAAAATTCTTTCATTAATATTTTCTACTAATTCACTGACTGAATTCACAATAATGTAAAAAATAATCCTCAAAATAATTTCTAACCAAATTAGAACAAGATATAAATTGAAATCCCCTAACACTAATACACTACTATATTTGTGGCAATAATCTTCTATTATTTTAAATAATAACAAATATTCATGATCATTACTATTAGGAGAATATATAGGACACACACAAAAATAAAAACCTACTTTTTAAAAAACAGTCGACAAACAATTAAATGCCCGACACTCATATATAATGGTAGGCAATATCACTCGCCTCATCTCTAAACGCGGAGTGGCTATCAAACAGGCTCCACCCTGCTTGGGCCTCCGCGATCACATCGTAGTATAGTAAAGCCTATTGGAACCAACTCAGCATCAGCTATTGACTCATTACAGTGTTTCTGTGACAGCAATCAAGTCTGCTCTGTTCAACACACTTCGTTGAATTAATAATTTAGTCGAAGCCCCCTTACGTTTTGATAGAATATATCAATTGGTTTATTCACCCTTCTTTATTTTTATCTCGAAACCACACCCAATCACAAAATTCTATATTTACTGGCCAATTTTCAGGTTGACAGAGTACCTTATATTCACTTTCTGGTACACCAATAATAAAAGAAGCATAGTCCCTCTCTGTTTTATGATTTATTTTTCTACTAACTTCACATTTTTTTATATATTTTTTTCACATAGCTTTCCAAACATTCCACGACTTTCCTTTTTAAGGCCATAGTGTAAAACTTTTCCCTCGTCCTTAATTGTATAGTTTCTGCAATCACCCTTTTTTACCTCTTTTCGAGTATTTGCTCGGGGACTGTCATCGCA